CCAATGCTGGTGACTCAAGGCAGCCCAGCTCCAGGTTGAGCTGTTGTTCACCATCTTAGCTGTAGAGGGCAGCGTCACTGGCCCTCATGTGGGATCGGAACCGGGACCCTGCTGCTCAGAGCTGGCATCCCAAGCCAACTCCTAACCGACGCGCCACTCAGCCAGCCTGATTCTGAATTATTAATAGGTCCTAACCCATAAAGAAGATTGTGCTTTGCTGTCAAGGACGTATTATTAGGATGAAATTTGAATAAATTCCATAGATCAAGGGCTGGCAAACTTTGGTCCTCAGGCCAAAGCTGCCTGCTGCCAGCTTTTGTGCCACTAATGAGCTCAGAATGGTTTTTACATTTTTAAATGGTTGGAAAATAATTTTTTAAGAATAAAATCTATATGACATTCTGGAAAAGGCAAAACTATGGAGACAGTAAAAAGATCAGTGGTTGCCTGGGATTGGAGGAGGAAAACAGGGTTCAATAGGTGAAGCACGGGGCATTGTCAGGGGGGCAGTAAAACTATCCTGTATGACACGTCATGGTAAATACACGGAATTATACAAAATACTATATTGTGACACATGAACATTATGTGAAATGGGAATTTCTTTGTCTATAAAGTTTTGTTGAAACATAGCCACACTTACTCATTTATATACTATCTATGGTGGCTTTGGAGCAGCCACCCCAGGTCCAAGAGTTGCAACAGACCATGTGACTCAGACTCGAAGAGGGTGCTGGCAGCCTCGTGTGCACCGTCTCCCCGGCCCAGAGGCCGTCTATGCGAGGACCGGAACCAGCACCCAGCCTGCCACCTTTCTATAGGCCACATGCTCCACCAGGCATTCAGGGCAAGGGGCAGGCATGGCCATCCGTGTGGCGTGTGTCGTGTGAGTTACAGGAGGATTTGTACAGTGAGCCTGGGAAAGCTCGGACAGTTGGCGCCTTCGCAGTGCCAATCTTTGATCTCTTGGAGGAGAAGGGAGCTGGTGGGCGCATGCTTAACCTGCCCACGGAAAGGCTGGGTTTCTGTAAATCTTTTTGTTAACAGCATAATCCCTGGTTATAAAATGCATGTAGTCCAAGTGGAGGAATATTGGAAAATCCAGAAAAGTATAAAGAAAATAGAAACTACTTGAAATTTTACCTCCCAGAGATTACATAAAACCACATAAAGATGATGCTAAAATTACCGTATCGTTCTGCCTCCACCTTCTGGAGATCCCCATGGTTAATATGTGTCCTGTGTTCTTCTATAAATGCACATAGGAATGCAGAGCCTACATAAACGGGCCCGGTGATGCAGTCTTTAAGCCTGCCTTTTTAATTACCAACGGGATAAGAATGTCCATAACTGTGTGTCAGCAACGTCATCTGAACGCCTCCAAATAAGGAATTTTCCCAATTGTCAGATACTTATTTTGTATAATATATCTTGTACGTGTATTTTTTTTAAATGGGGGGAAAGTCTGAAAGAATATATATATACTTCTAATAAGAAGGACATATGTTAGCAGTGGTTATCTCCAGAAGGGGGAGGCGGAATTTTATAAATTTTTTCCTCTTTATGTTGTTCCATGTAATCTCTGGATGGTAAATTTTCAAGAAGGATTTATATGGATGGCTTATTTTCTGCTTTGTACTTATCTTTTTCAAGTAACCATGCTCCGCAAAAGAACCACAGTGAATATTTTGTTATATGTCCTAACAGTCTTAAAAAGTGGATCTTAAAACCTCACTGGAGCCATGCTGTCCATCGGCTTTGCGCCCTGATTAAATGACCTGACGGTGTCCAGTGGGCCTCAATGTGTGTCGCTGAGGCTGCATGATCCTCTTTCTTGCGGGGAGGGGGGGGGGCTGTGATTTCCCCCCCTGTTCCTCTATCATAGACTGCTGCTATTATTTCTGATTTTTCACAGTGTAATGCTGTGATGAATAGCGCTGCCCCGGATTTCTTTTGTTTCTGTATCTGAACACGTCTTAGGCTTTAATCCTAGAAGGACAGTCACTGAGTCAGAAGGCAGAACATTTTTAATGCTCTCATTGCATACGAAAAGACTGGTTTTCAGAATGTCTGCTCATTAATTACTATCAAATAAGCTCTTACTTGTTGGTTATAATAAAATGGTGCTATAGATAACTGTTCTTGTCATATTTGTTTTTAAAGCAGATCTTCTAGAAATATTTATGAAAAGTTAATTATGAATATTGTATCTGAACATAAAAACCATGCTTCCTCCAAAAAATTTTTCAAAATAATTTAAAATTCAAGCTAACTAATCATCTTAAAGACAACTTTAAAAATAAAAGAGATTTTTTTCAAATCCCACTCCCGCCCTTTTCTATAGTTGTAATAAAAGTATATGTATTTTTTTGTACAGTGCTTTTTTTTTCTGTGTTGCTACGTGGTCTTCATAACTCTCATTTTTAATGACTACAAATTAGTCCAACTTTTTACTTTTATAGCATTGTGGTGAATGTGGACCATTTCCTTAAGTTCAGATCCCCAAAGTGGATTGACGGGGTCTGAATTTAAATTTTTGTTCCTTTGAAATTGTCACTAATTCATGCTGTCCCATCTTCTGGATTAGCCTTAATTATCGCAGCCTTCTGCCCGTGACCATATGACATTCAGCACAGTCCTATTGGCAGAGCACCCAGTAAGTGCTGTCATGTCCCTGGGAACCTAACTGGCCAGGACATTGTGCCGTTCGCAAAGGCACCCCTATGGGGCTCCGAGCGTTTCAGACAAAAACGGAACGCTTTTCCTGCGTGCCCAGTTAGTAACTCCAGGGAACGCGCTCAGCTGCCACTCACAGAAGCCTTTTATTCCACAGCCTTTGCCAACAAGGAAAGAAAACATACAGAGGCAGGGAGGTGATCATTATGTAACCCTCTCCTTTTTTTTCTCTTTCTGTTTCCTTTTGTGAGAACATCAAGTCAAGATGGAAACGCGTTTGTGGCGTCTCCTTTCTGCTACAGCAAACTCGACCGACTTCATTTTCCAAGATACAGAATTTACAAAGTCCATAAATGCTTCTTTGTTGCCCGTACGCCGTGTGGTTTGGCCCCCAGAGTTATCTCAGATAGCACAAATAAATCTGGCGGCCTCCAGTTGTCTCCAGCTCGGCACCGGCCCCTTCCCCCGTTTGTCTACCTCCTCCCCGAGTTTCCTCTTGGCCTTCAGCGGCTCAGACCCAGTCTTCTCATCAATATGCCCTGTTAACTGCTGCCAAATCTCCAGCAGTTTAGTGCATATGTTCCCTTAATCATTTCTCTTTGTTCTAGAAGTCTGTGTTTGGTTTCTGAACCCCGCCCCCGCCCCCCCATTCCACCATCACCGTCGCTGGCTATAGCACATGACTGTCTACTATCTATTTAAAGAACATCCTAGATTGCCTGCCTTCACAATCTGCTCACAACGTGCAAAATCCACCCCCCTTCCCACAGAAAAGTTCGTCAGCCACCCTCCCCGAGAGCCCACGGCCTCCTCCAGGTGAAGAAAGGGCTGCCGGGACCCTCTGGAAAAGCAGAGCTTCCTAGAAGACAATTTACCTCCCTGCACGAACAAAGTTTCCTTCTTAGGGCTCTCTGCCGGTCCAACACAAGAGAAGGACGCTTTCTTCTTGGAGCCCGAGGGTGTCTAGGCACCATCCGTCTCAATGGGTTATTCATGGTTTCCAAGAGAAATACATCTGCAGCTGTATTTCATGTGAGATGGAAGTGGGCCTGGCACACGGACGGACGGCGGCTTGCTCGCCGGGAATGCCCTGTGCCTGTGGGCCAGCCGGCCCCCTGCCCGACGTGGCCAGGCTCTTCTTAGCAAGTAAAGGGGTCTTCTGGGCTCCCCCTCATGGGGCCTGCACACACCAGCGCACAACGTGCCAGGGGTGCAAAGGGAGGCCCTGTTGTTTTTCTCTGCTTTGAAGTGTTTTCCTTCTCTTATTATTGGTAAAGTTCTCCCCCATTCCTTGATCCTGGACAGAGGGTGAGGAGCTGCTCAGGGCGTGGTCTTTCTTTGGAGCCGGGTCCCCTCCGCACAGGGTGACTGTGGAACCCTGAAAACTTATAGGAAACTTTAGGTTTATACACAGCACCATCTCTCTGTCGTCCGTGTCCTTGTCACTTCCCTCCTCAAAAGAGTATTTCAGAGAGGCCACAGCAGCTGCACTGACAGTGGGCAAACCTGATGTTTGTGTGTGTGTGAGTGTGTGTGTATGTGTGTGCACACTTGGTTTTGTAAATCCTACCATGCACTGTGCCTGTGCAGGACCTTGTCAGCAACCCCTGGGAGAGCAGAGGAAAACTGCCTAACGCAGAGTTAAAATACGGAGAATGTAGCTGGGAGGAAATTCGCAGAGTGGGGCTCTTTTTCCCTTTCCTTTTCTGAAAAAAAAGTTACAGTTGCCTCATTTGGTGGAGATATAGGGCACTTTTCCACCTATCCCCTAAAGGGAAGTTTGTATTCTTTTAAATGAAACCATTTTAAAAGCAGAACTCAAGCCTAAAATGATCCAGGGTTCTCCTGAGTTCTCAGAAGGTGTAGATTTATTTACTATAGTTAAAACATAATTAGTTCTCAGGGGAGAGTGTATCTTTTAAACGGCTTTATTGCCACCATATTGGTTTTCTGAATAATCAGAAACTTCTGTTATGATTATGTTCTTGTGTTCGAACAGAAACACACTGTAAGTAGAAACAAATGTCAGGAATTGCTAGTTGTCACTAGAACAAGGGACACCACATCAGAAAGAACTTGATGGGATATTCCGAAGAAATATAATCTAACAATGTCTTAAATAAACTGGATAACAGCTCAGGCAGGGACACATGCCTCCCCCACCTCAGTCTTCCCGGAGGCTGGGGATGGGAGCACGAGTTCTTAATGGCCTTCCTTAGCCATATTCCCAGATGCATGTAAACAGGGTCCCCTGCTTTGCCTGCATGGTGGGTCCCCCTGCCCTGGCCTTGTTCTGGCTGACCAGTCTTTCCCACCGTTTGCAGGTTGATGTTTGAGATGCCGCAGGAAATGGGTTTAATAGCCATCGCAGGCCGACAAACACAAGGCAAAGGTCAGTCATCTTTTATTATTGTTTCTGCTGTGTCTGTTTTCTAAAATCGGTGACTCTTGAGGCCAGAGAGCCGAATGATTGAGTGTGCTGACCGTGGAGATGATGCGAATTAGAAGGCATTTTTCAAGCCCACACCGCCAGGTTAAATGGAAGAGAGGGAGCGAAACTGATCAGAAGATGGGGTCTTAGTAGAATTAAAGCATTCTCTCCAACTGAGATGTTTGTTAATCACTTGATGGTTTTAACATTTGGTTCACTACTGACGTATAAATTCTTCTCTCTGACATGGTCCAGGCATTGCACTTTGTGAATCATAACGGTTATAGAGACATTTCCCTGAGGGGTCTCTGTGAGGGGCCCTCTGTCTGTACTGAATGTCACATGGCGGGGCCCTTCATCCACCAGACCCCCACCCCCGATACAGCTGGAACTGGTATGGAGGGGGGCACTCGGGCGGTGCCCATTCACAGAGTGTGTTCCCAGGCGAGGGCCCACATCCTCCCAGAATGCATCTGTGCTCGCCTGAGAGCCTGTTTTGCTCTCCATGGTCATACGGGAGGCTCTGAGTCTCTGCTCCTAACCCCCAGCTGGGGCCAGACTGACCCAAATGTGCTTTTAACTCTCAGAGGCTCTTAGGCCTTTCTCGGAAGAAGCAAAGAAATAAGGAATCCACTGTTTTTGCTTCTTTCTTTGATACATGTCTTTTGATCATAACAAGGAAAAAAATCGTTTTATCAAAGCTGTGGGGAAATATGGTTGCTAAAAAAAAAAGATATTGATTAGGTATACCCATTTTGATTATTTTATTTTCCTGACTTCTATTTGAAGAAAACTAACAACTCAAAGATTCATATCAGGGATCAGTTTTTAAATTCAGCTTCCCTTTTTAAAATAACTATCATATAATTCACATACCGTATGGCTCCCCCATATAAAGTGGACAGTTTCTAATCCATTCACAGTGTTGTGTGACCATCACGACGATAGGAACCACTTCTAAAATGGGGCTTCCAGGACCTCTCCTGGACCACTGCAGGTCCGATCTGGCTTGCCCAGCCCGATTCCACCCCATCCCCATATGGTAACGAGAGAGTGATGTTCTGACACTGTGAGATTTTGAATTATCAATGCATAAATGATATGCTCGCAGAGGCAGCACAGTCTGCTAATTGCCGGGAACTCATCAGTGACAGAGCTTCAGACTTTAAAAAGCTGCTCTGTTATTATTAACCCCACAGTACCCAAGTGTCTTAACCAGTCCAGGCTTAGTCGGGTGGGGCGTGTCTTCAGGGCGTGGCTCCGTCCTCAGGCACTTTTTCTGGCACAACACGCATCTGAGTCTGTTCATGTGGCAAAGTGGCCGCTTGCCCGGCGGGGCCTGTCTTCCAGGGCGAGGAAGGAATGTGTGGCTGAGCCCCACGGGATGCGCTCTGTGTACCCTGCTGGTCTCCATCCCACTGGGGTCCCCGCTGGGCCAGAGGATCCCGTTCGTCCAGCATCTGATGTCCCTGGCTGTCGTGGAGGCAGTGAGGTCCGTTCCTGGCTACGAGGTACGTGCAGCTTTCCCGCCGTTACGTCCCAGCGCTGCGTGCAGACCTTGGCTTAGGTTTGTTTGTAGCATTTGTTTGCACGATGGCTGCATGTAGCACCTTGCAAAGCTGGCCACAGTGTTCCTGGAGTTTAAAAGCACCATCAGGTTTTATGGCTGCTTCGGGCTCACGGGAATGTTTCTCCCCCGGGATTCCCTTTCTGTCCTGTTGTCAGGTTTCTCAGACAGCCTCGTAAGGGCGAGACTTTTTTTTTTAATTGAAGCACATTGGACTAGATGGGGCTGTTTGTGTTTTCTGGTGGCAAGCCTTGTGTCAAAGACCCAAAAAATCCCTCCAATTTCCTACCTTCATTACCACAGCCTGTGCTCAGCACTTGTGGGTCTGCACTTGTGCAAGTTCAACGTGCAGGTCCGTTTGGGACTCTCTGCCCCCGACTGTAGGTTCAGATGTGCCCATTTCATCATCACTGTTGGGTGCTTTGCTGTTGGTTATTCAGAAGACAGGAAAAGAGAGCACTTAACAGAGGGACTAAAGCCTTTGCTCCCATACCCAGCCCCCACCTACCATGTCCCCCTCCTCCATGTTCCTGGAAGAATTTTATATGGCTGTAAAAAGTGGGGTCCTCCCTGCCTCCTTCCAACCTACAGCTCTTATGCCAGGCTAAAACGATCATTGTATGAATTCCTGAAGCAAGGTCCTAAGCTCCTGGCTCTCAAAGGAGACCTGTCATCCGTGTTTAAACAGAGAAGCAGTCCTCTGTTCTCTTCTCTGGCCCTTAGGCCCTGTCCTCTGTGGCCATGTCCTCATAGTCACCATGTAGGAGACTTGGGGACATGTCCAGTCACTGGCATGCACACTAGAACATGACATTTGTTACCAGGCACTCAGCATCCTTCTGTCTCATGGGCTTGGGCTCCTCAGACTGTCACAGACCTTCACTGGCCCAGCCTGTATCCCCCAAGCAGGACATTTCATCTGGAAGAAAGCAGTTGAGAAGATAAAGTCCTGTCATAGGGGGAAAAGGTTTTTCACCCTAGCAACAAGTTATTTAGGTTTTGGAAAATAAGCGAAATATTGAGCCTAGATCTGTTTAGCTTTTTTTTTCACGGTTTTGATTTTGACCTTGTAACCTCACTTGTCAATTTAGCGAACATTCTTTGAGGGGCTGCTGTGTGCAAAGGCTTTGCCAGGCACTGTGGGCAGCAGGATGGGGGCTGGCAAGCTTGCCCTCAACAGTGCACAGCTCCTGCTCTCCTTAAGAAACCCCCACCAAAGTCCCTGTCCTGTTTCCACAGTGGTCCAGCTCAGCCTCACCTATATGGTGTAGCTTCAGATTGGATTTGCATTTATTTTTAACATAAACCAGTTCATTTACAGTATAGCCACAGGTTGAAATATGCCCAAATCATTCGCATTCACCTTTCTTATCTCCTTCACTAAGGCCCCAACTTGTCCCTAGCCCGACGTCACCGTCAGCATACAGATCATGCCCAGTGTCTCCGGACTGGAGGCAGCATCACTAATGCTCGCCCTTCCTTCCAGAATCAGCAGCGTTAGGCCACCTGCCCTTGTTCCTGTCGTTTCTTGGTGGGAGAGGTTCCTGCAGGCACTCCTACAACCCCCCGCAGCTCTCACTCTGGAAGTTCTGTTCATCCTGGGGGGCCCAGCCCACATGCTGGTTCCTGAACCCTCAAGCGACAAACTCTCCCTCCTGTAACACTGTGTAGCACTTCACACGTCTAAGCCTCTTCTATGGGATCTCCCACGGATTGCTCGGAAGCAGCGTTATTTGTGCTCCTGTTCTGTGCCTATGAAGTAACCAGCTCCCTGAACGCAGGATTAGTTTTATTTTGGTCCCCAAAGATCCTAGCATGATGCTTTATACACCAGCCCCACAGCAGCCATCTGACTCAATGATTGAGACAATGAAAACTAAGCATGCCGCCTGGCCTTTCTCTCCATTTTGGATGGAGTCCCTGTTTACCTGTGTGAGAACCCAAAATTTCATAAGCTGCATCATTAAGTAACTCGACCTGAACATGGGAACTCACATGGGCATCCGAGAGCAGGCCTGGCGCGGAAGTGAGTGCCGCCCCTCTGTGGGGGCACCTGCTTTGTCAGGGGCTGTGCTGGGCACAGTGATACATGGGAAGGCAGGTGAGGAGAAAGAAGAGAATTGCCCGGGTGACCAAGACCAAAGTCTCCACGTGACAGATTTTCTAGGCCAGAGTTTCTCCACCTTGTCGCCGTGGACATTTGGGCGCCCACATCTTAGCTGGGGGCCGTCCTGTACATTATAGGCTGTGGAACAGCGTGTCTGGTCTCCACCCCCTTGATGTCAGTAGGACTCCCTCAAGCTGTGACAACCAGCAGTATCTCCCCATATTGCCCAACATGCCCTGAGGGACAAAATGCCTCCCGCCGCCCCCTCCACTGGGAGCCTTATTGTAGACAGAAAAGAGATTCAAGGCTCCTTATCAATTATGCGTCGTGGCGAGCAGCCCGCTTTTTATTTAACTTTTGTTCTTTGGTGTTCCTGCGTTTCTTCTCTCAGCCCAGAGTGCTGTGCGAGGGCAGGTGAGCATGTAAAGAACAGAAACATCCTAAATGACCAGAGTGATGAGATGGCCTGCTGGAAGGAGAGAAGGGGGTTTCTTGGAAGCAACAGGCTACACACCATAGTATTGGGCACCCAGGCTTGGTGTCAGGAAGCCCTGGGTTCGAATCCCAGCTCTACCTCATCCAAGTGCAGTGACCTCAGGCAAGCTATGCAGCCTCTAGGCTCCAGTTTCCTCCACTGTGCAATACAGGGATACTAATGCCAACATCGCGGTTTGGTAGACTTGACATACAGACTAATGCTGAGGAGGGGCTCGGCCGGACCTGGCCCCTGGGACAGGAAGAGCCACCCCCCACCCCACTCCCACCCCCGTGGGAGGCAGAGGCTGTCAGCCACTCTCTGGGCTCGGTTTTATTTTGCTGACCCTCTCGTCTCCGGTGGGGCTTCCTCTCCTCACAGATGGCATAGCCTGGCTGCCAGCCGAGGCCCAGGAGACCTGGTGGATCTGGTGCCGACTGGATCTAACCCAGTGTGGGTGGCCCAGGTGAAGCAGTGTCCACCCTTGGGCTGTTCCACTGTGACCGAGGCACAGATAGAGTTGCTCAGGCCACACCCTTCAGGAGGAACAGGCAGTGGGCTGAGAAGTCCATTTCCTCACCCAGGTTGACCTGGCATTCTTCCAGGCCTTCTCTGGTGCTTCAGTCAAACAGGCTCCTCGTATCTTCATGGCATCCCTCTCCAACGGTGTCTGCCTGCCTTTTATGGTATCGGTTAGTTCGGGGCCATCTTTCTCTCCCCAGCATGGGCACCCTGAACCCTGGGAGTATCGCTCTCTCTCCCTGCCCCTGCCCCTAGCACATGATAGGTACTTCACACCATAGTTGCTGATACTGAGATAATGAAGTTAATTCACGAGATAGGCACCTTCAGAAAGTGTTTTTGATGAAGGACAGTGATGGGGGTGGGAGAGTGCTGGAATTGCTGCCTGATGTGCTCTGTAGGTCTCTTTCCTTCTAGTCCCAAGAGGTACTTTAACACTGGATGGTCCCAAAGAAGTGATTAGCTGTCTGAAAAAGAAGGGAGGACAAGGCCCCACGTTCTATTAGTTTTGAGAGCCTTCAGCTTATCTTCTTTTTCGCTGGATGACCTCAAGTGGCCCCTTTGTGTCCCTATGATTGCTTGATTAATGTGCAGATTTTCCTCCAGGACATCGACTTACGAGTGAAGTGGCCCAATGACATTTATTACAGTCACCTCATGAAGCTTGGTGGAGTTCTGGTTAACTCGACACTTATGGGAGAAACATTTTATATACTTATTGGTGAGTTTTTAAAGCCTTTTCTCCAGCAATTTTAGATTAATAAAAATACAAATGGTTTTTACATGGCTATATTGGGGATGGGAATTAGCAGATGAGATTACTTTTAGTCTTACAGATATAGAATACAACATATGTGTAAAACAGGCAGGTTGGTTGAAAGTGCTTCAAGCGGTTTAAAATTTCCTACTATGACCATGGAAACCAAATTGGTATCACATCAAATGCATTTTCTTATACCTTTCCACACTCCTGCTTCTCACTGAATTAGAAATGGTGAGACTAAACCACAGTGAGATATCACCTCACCCGTTAGAATGGCAATTATCAAAAAGACAAGAAATAACAAGTGTTGGAGAGGCTATGGAGAAAAGAGAACCCTCATACACTGCTGGTGGGAATGTAAATTGGTACAGCCGCTATGAGAAACAGTAAGGAAGTTCCTCAGAATATTAAAAATAGAAATAACATATGAAACAAATTCCACTTCTGTATTTATCTGAAGAAAGTAAAAACACTAACTTGAAAAAAATATATTCACTCCCACGTTCACTGCAGCATTATTTACAATAGCCAAGACATGGAAACAACCTAAGTGTCCACTGACAGATGAATAAAGAAAATACTGCCATGTTATTCAGCCATAGAAAAGAATGAACTCTTGCCATTTGTGACAACATGAATGTACCTTGAGGGTATTACGCTAAGTGAAATAAGTCAGTTAGAGTAAGACAAATGCTGTATGATCTCATTTGTATAAGGAATCATTTTCTGTAAAAAAAAAAACACCAAAAAAAAACAAAAACGAAAAGGAAATAAAATGGTGAAAGCAAACACTTACTGTACCATTTTGTAATTAGCAAAGTTAATTTCAAGGATGAATCTCCTGGTGGTCTTCCATTCTTCATTTGACCTTCCCAGGCCATGAAAAGGCTGCATTCTTTGAAGCTCCAGGCTGGTTAGGGTGGAAGAGCCCTGTCTCCCCTCAGTACCTCCATGTCAGGCAAGGCGACAGATTCAGAATCAATTTTAGAGTCTTAGGCCCCTGGTCATCCAGTCTTCAGCCTTCCCCTGATGCTGAGGAGAGCTTGGTTGGTGTTCAAACATTAGCAATGGACAGAAAACATGTGACCGTGTGTTGGAAGTGCCAGCCAAAGAATACAAGGCGTATGTTTCCAGCTCTGCTACCAACTGGCAGTGTTATTCTGGGCAAGCTGTTTCTCTCCCTCAGAGCTCTGCTGCCCATCTTTAAATGTGCAATTGGGCTAAATGCAGAGATTCTTAAGCAGGGTCCACAGATACCAAGGAGGCCCCGGGATAGTTCTAGGGAGCCAAGAAATGCTGTCAGCATGGGGGACATGAAACATTTTCCTGTGGGGTGAATCCATAGCTTTTATTAAACTCTTAAGGCCATGGGAGGCGGGGGGGGGCATCTTTGACCCAGGAAAGATTCCGAGTTGCTAGCAGGGGTGTGCTCTGGTCCTTGGAAGCATACAGCCTAAGCTGACAATAGTCAATGTCGCTGTTTTCCCCAGCACTTTTAATTTTCTGAATACAAGAGAGTATTTTCCACACCATATACACTTAATTTCATACCTTACACTCCATAGGTGCTTCAGAAACTGGGTATGTTGTTGAATGAATGAACAAACAAACAACTGCAGAGTCTGCCCCTGTTGCTGTCGTTATATTGCTTTGTATTTTAATAGGCAGTATATTTAAAAAAACAAAACAAAACAAAACATTCTGGGGCCAATCAGTCCTTCCCTTCACACTGAAAATGGCTCAGAACAGTTACAAAGAATACTGTTATTGTAAATGTCATTGTTTATGTGAGGAGAGTATATGGGAATTATTTTCTCAGAGGCCCTGAAAACACAGTAGCCTTGCTGCCTCATTCCTGCAGTATTTCATTTCTGACTGAAGACCTCTTTGAGGTTGATTCAGGGCCCTGCTGAAAACTTCAGCTGGGCCTCTCTGAAGCCTAGCCCCTCCTGGAAAGGACAGCGGTGTTAAGTAACAGCAGAGATAAGCCTATTCAGACCCCGCTGTTGCAACTCTTTCCTGAAGCCTTGGTTTGGAGCCCGAACGTGGGTTGGCCCGTTGCCAACAGCGTAACCCTAGCACCAAAGACGTCCAAGGACAGAGTATTAAAAGATGTGTTCTAGGGTTATACCATGACCAGGGTTTGAAATCTCTGAATCCAGAGTTTACTCCTTAAGACCTGAATAAAATTCTTTCTTTTCAAGCATGTGTCTGTTATTCACGTAGGAAAGGAAACAAGAGATTCTCAGTGCCGAGCTACAGTTCTTGACTAGACCACATGATATATGGTTTCGGGAGTAACTCTAAGAAGTCTGTCCCATTCGTGGCTTCTGTTTAGCTGAATCAGAAATGGCTTGCTTTTTCCAAACTTACTGGCAGTAAGGTTGGGATGGTCTTGGCTTGATGAGGATAATAAAGGAAGGATAACAAGGAAGATAGCCTCAAAGACATACATCGTTCTGTCAGTGGCTGGAGACAGTCAACTCAGAATGAGGACAAGGAATCAGGAAGTTGACAGTAAAGCTGTACGTTTTCCAGGGGGTTGAGAGGAACTGGTGATGCCCTCAATAGGTGGAGCTGCTCCTGTTTTTCAATTATTTGTTTGTTTGTTTCTGTCCAGGCTGTGGATTTAATGTGACTAACAGTAACCCTACCATATGCATCAACGATCTCATCACAGAATACAATAAGGAGCACGGGGCAGAACTGAAGCCCTTAAGAGCTGATTATCTCATCGCCAGAGCTGTCACCAGGCTGGAGAAACTGATCGACACGTTTCAGGACAAAGGGCCCGATGGTGTTCTTCCCCTGTATTATAAATACTGGGTCCACAGGTCAGTGCTGGCTCGTCTTCATTCTTTTAAATTCCCTTTACTAAGTCAATAATTCAGTATTAAAATGAGAAGCCAACCACCAGTCTAGATAATTTTACCTTTCGGATGGAGAAACCTGGTGGACGCCACCAGTGATAGGACCTGCCGGCGCCCCGTGCCTCCTGGTGGGATGCAGTGGGAAGGGCATCACCAGGGCGTTTTCCTGCCAACATGTTTAAGCTGAATCCAACTGTGAGGAAACAGACAAAACTGAATCATGGAACATTCTAGATAACAGTGGTTTCCAAAGTGAGATCCCCAGGCGGGCGGCAGCAGCCTCACCTGGGAACTTGTTAGGAAAGCAAATTCTGGAGTGTCCCCTGGACCTCCTAAATCAGAAACTTGGAGGCTGGGACCCAGCATTGTGCTTTAACAAACGCTGTAGGGATTCTCAGGTACCTCAAGTTTGAGAAGCACTGGCGGGTACCAACAGGCCTCTACTCTTCAAAAAATGTCAGTGTCTTAAAAGTCAGCAAGGTGCGAGCTTTTTGAGATTAAAAAGGCATGACGCTAAATGCAATATGTGATTCATAATTAGATCCTGGATGGGAGGAAATAGCCACAAAAGATAGTAATGGGACAGTGGGGAAATTTGAACATGGACTGCATATTAGGTAATGTTATTGTAGCAAGATTAGATTTCTTGAGGGTGATAATGGTATTACGGTTTTGTATGAGATTGTCCCTATTGTTAGGAGATACATGCTGAAGTGTTTAAGTATAAAGTGGCATGATGACTGCAGCTTATTTTTAAATGTCAGCCCCAAAAAAGCACATGTGTGTGTGTGTGTGTGTGTGTGTGTGTGTGTGTGTGAAGAAAGGAAGCAAATATGGAAAATGTTATTATCAGTTGGTGTGAATATAAGTGAAGGGAGAATGTGAGGCTCATTGTACTGTTTTTTGGGTTTGTTTTTTTTTTCAACTTTTCTGTAGGGTTAAAATTCCTCAAAATAAAAGTTGGGGGTGGGTGGGGATTCTATACTTTTTAAAATGTTCACAAGGATGTAATGACAGGTACATTTGGAATAGATTCAGAAGAAAGAGAATAAGCATGAGTTTAACTTGTAGCTGATGCTACCCAACCTTATTTTATTAGGTAAAACTTTTCAACCCAGCTTCTGTTTCCCAATCTCAGCCAAAAAAACCGTAGCGAGTTGCAGGGTTTCTTTACAGGGCCAGAGGTGCGGCAGGGAGGTGGTGCAGATCCCCCGGGTGATCAGAATGAGGAGTGACGTTCAAACAGCCCCTAGCTCCCCCTTTTGGACGTGCCATCACCCTGGTTATCCTGGCAGTTACCAAACTAGTCCGCGCGGGGCCAGTGACCGTCAGAGCCCCGTGCCCAGCCCCAGGCCCGGCAGCCCCAGCCCCTGTGCATGCCGCCGCCTGCCACTCCCGGTGACCTCTGGCCGTGCCTCCTTTTCAGTGCTCAGCAAGTCCGCCTGGGAAGCGCCGGCGGCCCGAAGGTGTGGATCGTGGGCCTGGATGATTCCGGGTTCCTTCAGGTTCACCAGGAGGACGGCGAGGTGGTGACCGTGCACCCGGACGGCAACTCCTTCGACATGCTGCGCAACCTCCTCGTCCCCAAGCAGCCCTAGTCCCCGCGCCGCGGCCCCAGAGGCTTCCCGTTCCGGTTCTGCGGCCTCTCCCCGCCCACGGATCTGGAAAACCAGTTGGAGAGTTGTAGGCAACGTTGTTTTTCTCCCTGCCATTGACCTGTTCCTTCTTTAATTTTGTCCTGTCGGTCGCCTTTCCATTTGGTGTTGGAAGGTGATGTGGGCTGGAGGGTTGACAAGTGGAAGATGCGGTTCCGGGGAAGCTCTACTGTAGCTGTGACATTGTTCTCCCTCTTGGGCTTGGCTGTGTGTTTATTGCCCTCTCCCCACCCCCCAAAAATGTTGGGTTTTTTTGTGGCCATAGCAATGGAATAATTCAAGTATTTTCCCAGTAGTGGAGACCTTTACCCCTAAACTACTAAAAAGAAAATAGAAAAGAAAGCTTGGGGCCAGGCCCCGTGTTGAGTTAGAGGTATGGTGACGCTGTTTATAAGCTAAGCACCCAGGGAGGCCTTCTACAGGAACATGCATTGGCACATAGCCGTCCTTTTATTTTTGTGTTAATGAAGAAAAGAGAAGATGGACTTCTAAGAGTTGCTCTCAACCGGGTGGTTTGTGGTCCAGTAACAACGTCTAATGGCTACAGAGATGCGCCCAGCTGGTCCAGCTGCAATGGTCTCGTGGAGGAAATCAGTTAATTACTTTGACATATAAGTTTAAGTTTACTGCATATTCGGAAGTGATGGGATCAAGTTCAAGGTGCTTGCCTTAAGGGTTGATTAGGCATTGCTCGGGTGTGGGGGGCACGATTTGGCTGTAGCAGCTGGAGATGAAGGCTCTTCTACCACATGCAAGGTAGGCTCTGGAGCTTTCAAGCCCGTTTCAGGCACGCTTTGAAATGTGGGATGTTCCTGCAAGACTGTGGTGCACAGAATACAGAAATACATGGCATTTTATTTGTAAGTCTTTGTTTGTTGCCCTCTTTTTCCAATATTGCCAAGAAAAAAAGTATTATTGATACAGAATACCATTATTTAAGAGGAAAGGGGTGTGAGAGACAGACAGAGAGAAAGAAGCTTTAAAAGACCTTCAAAATCTGATAAAAAGTCTCCATCGAAGAACAAAAGAAAGGAAGCCTTTTGATATACATTTGCTATTTCCAGATGCACTCCATGCTTTTTCCATGTAACTGCTATCTCTGTTGAACTTGTGAATCATACACATTACTTTGGAGCCTCAAAAGGCCAATTTTTGCCCACTTTTCTCTCTTCCTGCCAGGCCCAACTGAAATTAGTGGAAAGAAAACTTGATGTAGCTCTCAGCTTTGAACAAAATCTCTTTATTGTACACTAGCACCGTCTTTATCCAGTTCTTAGCCAGTCGGGCTAATTCCAGAAACTTGTGGTTTCCAGTATAAAATCTGTCCACCTTTAGCCAGGCACAGGCAGCCCCATAAGAAGGGGAAAAAACGACATGTTTAGTTAAGTACACCAACCCAATATGTGTTTTTTGGAAATGTAACTTTTTCAAAGAACTTCAAAAGTAATTTTTGCAAATAGGACTTCAATTAGAATTATTTTTCTCCAATAATAATAGTAATAATAACTCTCTCCTAAATGCCCAAGTCTTCTTTTGGAGTTAGTGACAAGTTTAAATGAAAGTCCACACCACCCCAAAATTACAAAATAGACTCACCCCTGGGAGGGCATCTGCAAAACATCATCAAGAAGAAAGATCTCAGGCGAATGCTGCCAGTTTTATTTTTCAAACTTTGTAATATAAGGCAAGTCATCTCTCTGAGCTTCCATCATTTTTTGAATTTCTTTGGGGGGTTATTTAATGAAAACCATGCTATGTTTTGTTTTAAGCTGAAGTCCTATTCTAGACAGTTCTGCTTCGGGGGAAAAAAATGTTATCATTTAATTTCCTTTCTGTAAATTAAAACGAATGAGGTGTGGCCGTGTCAAAGCAGATAGAGACGTTGACGATGTGGCGCTCAGCCCCGGCTCACACGACTGTTCTTACTGGTGCCGACATCCAGTTGTCTTAAGGGAGACAAAATGGACTTGAAGCAGATGCTGTGTTTTTCATAAACCTGATCTTGCCTCAGATGAACCAAAGACTTTTGCAACTCTGCTTCGTGGAACAGCTGAAGTAAGGCATTTTACTTACAGCTGTCAGCATCAGGGAAACCCATCCACTTGGACACTGCACTCACCATTTGGGGTGCTGATGCACCCGGCAATCTTGATCTCAAGGAGCTTTTAAAGTCTTAACAGAAACTGTGTGTTCTTCATGATCTTTGAAACACGGCCACTAAACTCAGGATTGCTGTGTGCTTTAAGGACATTGAAAGGTCCCCCGGTCCTCCGGTCTAGAGGCTGTGCAGTGAGCGTTACCAGGTTATGTAAAGGGCAGGAGCTCTTCTCTTCTGGGCTGAGAGCAGGTTTCAGGGGAACGCTTGGGGAAGCGCCCACTAAAACAGGACACAGCAATAGCTGGGCTTCCGGTGGCCCCACCAGAGCAGTGGTCCTTGGCGCTGGGCAGCCCTGGCTGCGTTCATAGGGCGTGGGCGGAGTAGGAAGAATGTATGTCCAGGTTAAGACAGTCATTGGAGCGCGCTGCTGCAGCACACTCGCTTTGCCAGACACGGGAACCAACGGCCGGACATGAGGGCTAGGTGCACAGGCTCAGGTCGGGTAGCCCGCCCTGCCCCCGTACACACATGGGGGGGTCACCCACCCCAGTCTGGGTACTGGGAGAGCAGCAGCCTCCCCCACGAGTTTCAGAATGCAAAAGGGAGACATGTTAGGCTTATATTCTGAAGATGTGTTCCCTCTGAGCAGGCAGAAAATAGAGAATCCTTATTCCTGGGTAATTACTATGCATATTGGAACTAAAAGAAAGTGGCAACCTTTGCATTTTTAGCTTTTCAAAGAATCACCTGTGAAAAGTAATTAAGCCAATGCCTATAAAAAGCAAGTCTACCAAAATAAACTTTAAGACTTTCTACACAGTTTGGTTTCATTGTCATTTTTACCACAAGTTTCATTTTTTTAAAATAGGCAACTACTTTTGGTTACAGTATTTTTATTCATATTTAAACATTTTTACAAAATAAATAGTTTTACAAGGTAAGGAATATGTATGTATTTGTAAGTATTGAGAAGCCGGGACTTTTTTGGGTTGTTTTTGATGTATTTTTGACAAATGTATTCTGCATCATACAAAAGAGAAGTCTTATTATTCCAAAGAATGAAAGTTGGCAAAAGCAAAAAAAATTAAGTTTCAGATGAGAAATTTAATATAACAATTTAATGTAAATTTTTTAAATTTAAAAATAAATTTAATGTAACAAATTTAAGAACAGATTTTGTTCTTATAGAATTTTTACTATTTTGTGAAACTGCTTGACAGATTTAAGATTTTAACCTTATATATCATACTTAAGTTAGGAACAGCTTGAATAATGCATTTTAGATAACCCAAGGGCTACAATTCACTAAAATTTTAAGCTACTGTAATTTTGTGGCATTTATTGGAAAATGTTCTTTTTGTTCCATCTTTATCTAGCAGCCCCCACAGTCTACCTTAACTGTCTTACAGTTACAGTAAAGGACAACTTCGGATAGATTTGATGCAGAATTCATTGACCATATAAACCCCTCCCACTCTTAGGGTCCAAGGGAGGAAGACATGGCCCATAGGACTTTAAAAGGACAAAAAGGGGGCAGGGAGAGCAGAAAATACAGGCTCTTGCAGAGTTCCTCAGAGCAGGCCCTCTTCATACCCTCTTCACTTCGCTACAAAGGTATGAATGGAATGGCTTTTCTAGAAAGGGCTTCCATGAACATAAAGGAATTCCTTTCCCTGGGAGGCCCCGTGGAGGCCCCAGCCAGTCTTAAACTGGGCTTATTTCTCAAACCCATTCTATCTGACATTTTTGTCAGCATGTTAGGACCCACTATAATTTTTTTCATTTGTGTGTGCGTGAAAGGCATATTGATTAAAATGCTTCCTCTTCCCCTGCCAGACCCTCACAGAAGTCAAGAAGCGATACCCCAGCTTAAATGTGCAGACTCTTAAAGATGGAGGTAACAATATTAGGTTGCCATAGTAACTAACTGCTCTGCTAACTTTGCACTGAGTTGCTTACTGCCTCAAAGCTAGCTTGCCTGGGAACCTTCCTGCACGTTCTAGGCTATGAAAACTGTGATGTTTGTTTAGACAAGTAAGTTTTCCCTAATACACATTTTTCAAGTACATACACACTCATTGTTAAGCCTCTTTACGTTGTCATTTGTAAATCTTGAACTGTCTTTCTTCACAGGAACCTTTGATCTTAAACTGCTCAGAAAGCCTTCCTGGTTTGTGTTTGCTAAATCCGGCCCCCAGTGGTTAATAACAAGGTAGACACAAAAGCATTTGGCGGAACTTTATTGAAACATGTCAGGTGGTACCTCTTGCTCATCACACCTGCACCTTCCAGGAGTCATGGTTTAGCTGCGAGACTCATGAGCATAAAAAGAAATACCTCAGGCTTATTTTATACGCACACACTCATGCCACTCACGAAGGAGGTAGAGCTAAGTGCAGTGAGAGGCGTATGCCTTCCATTCTTACAACCCAGCCCTTGGCGACACGACATCTGCTCCTAAATTTGCAAATTTCACCTCTGTACCATAAGGTCACTGACATCCTGCTAGGGAACAAGACAGGTCCTCATAGTGACACTGGCTTGGAAACAGATCATTTCACATTTTGGCGAACAATTGATGAAGGTGCACTTTGATTCTAGAACGATGAGTTAAAGGCATTTGTGGAAAACCTTCCCACTCAAGAAGGTGAAGTTTCCTAAAAGTAAATCGTTTTTGAAAAATCAGCAAAATGATGGAGTGTTTAGAGTGTGGAGCAAATCGAAAGACGGTGGTTCAAAGCATCCATCCACCTCAGAGCCATGATATGATTTTTAAATGGTGAAATCTTGAAGCAAAAATATAAAAATAAAAAAATTAATGAAAGTTTATAAAACACTGCTGGTGCTTTATAAAAGGTTTGTTTAGCTGTTACACACATGATGTGTTCGTAGGGAGTTTCTTTGCTATGTATAAATGCAGAAAACGCTTAAAACAACGCATACATCATTTCACTACATCCCCTTAGCACATATTCTTCCACGAGGCGCATTGACAATTTTCCATATTGCACATGCAATTTCACTAACTTGATTAGCACTGCTTGTAGCAAACACGAGCCTAGGGAATTTCCGGTCTGTGTGGGCCAGAGGGACTCTGCCTTGTAACCACGGTTGACAGGGGTAGCCAACAGCACAGGGCACCTCAACCATCCACATGTCCTCATAAAATCTCTCGCTATATAATTTTTTGCATTTAATGCTTATTCAATATATTCTGAAGGTGCTATTCTTGGTGTTGTCAAGAGTTCATAGGCATTAGGAGGAAGGAAGAGCTGTGAATGTATTTACGAAGCACACCAGTGCGTGCCCCCTTGGTCTGGGCTTGTTGATTTTTTGTATTAAAAGAAAGGGTTAAATTAAAACTTTTAATGAGACTCACGAATGACTTTAAAAGACATCAGAATTGTTGTCTATTCGTGGGACTTAAACAATCACAATCTGCCTGGACTTAAGAATCTTTAAGGCTCCGAATACAGGCGGTCCGCCGGGCCTCGCACATCTGACCATATCAGGGCTGGGGGGGGGGCTCCTTAAAGTGGAGGGCGCTCGTGGGGCGGCAACTCCTCTCCATCCTCCAGCGGGGCTGCTGAGCATCAGCGACAAGGCAAGGCGTGCAAACCTGACTTCAAGACGCGGAAACCGAGTGCCCCCAAACACGGGGTCGTTTGCGGTCACACGCAGGACGACAGGGACGCCCAGATCGGCCCTTTCGGAAAACCCGGCTCTTGGAGAACAAAGGCTCGGCGGTCGTTTCTCCCCCACGTCAGGCGGGTGTCCGTCCTCTACACCGGCCCTCCTGGCGTCTACGGTAAAAATCTAAAAGTCGGCTGCGGAGTGCTATTAAAATAGTTGTCTCTGTATAAATTAATTTAAATCGTGCCTATCCAGCGCGCCCCTCTGAGCTCAGCTGGACTCGGTGCAACAGGAGCCCAAGAGGCCAGGCCTATGGCTTCTCGCTGCGGACGGTCCGGCCCGGCCGGGTCACCTGCCGTTGGTTATGATGACCGAGGCGCCCAGGTAGTGCGGCAGGGGCGCGCCGGGCGGCGCGGCGGCGGCGGGGCCCGGGGGTCGGGG